TTAGCTCTTGAGATCCAAATGTGCACCAACTTTAAAGAATTAAAAAGATAACTCTTCTATCCACCTTGAATTAAATGAGTTCGTTCGGTTCATATTAGGATAGGAACTTTAAAATTTTAATCTTCTGCTACACCTCCCTATCCAACAGTGGTACCAGAGCCAAGTCGAATTTTCATTTAAGTTGGTTTTTGATTGATTATGTTCTTAAATCTTCATGTGATAAACTTCTTTGGATGAACGTTGCTTTAAAATTTTCAAAATTTATACGTGATATTTTCAAAATCTATATATATGTTTTTCATGTGATGTTTTCAAAACATATATATCTATAAACTTGTTTTATATATCTATATATATATATATATATTTAAATTTATATGAATTTAAATAAATTAATATGATTAATATTTAGCTATATGATGCGCATTCTCAATATGACTAATGTTCGTCCATATGATGTGCGTTCTGAATGTCATTATTGTTCGTTCACGTTCTCATATGGTTTAGGCTGGACTGTCAATATGATTGATGAATCTAAAGGGTCTGAGGCAGCAACTCATTCAAAGAGAATAAGTGGGACCACCGTGGCTAACTCTACGTAGCATTTCTTATTCATGATTTATATAGCCTTTCATTATATATAAATTGTTTATTTGTTGTGTTTTCTTTACCTTGAAGTTGTTTGGGTATGGTGACACATATAGCTCTAGTTTTACGAGGGTTGTAAATTATAAATACGGCCTGCGTGTCATGCCTCTCTCTATGAACTCTTAATGTACATTCTCTTCTCATCTCATTCCCCTCATATGAATAAATGAGGTTTCTTGATGTAATTTATCTTCTTAGAGAGGTCCTCTCATTGGCTTAGGATTGACATAGGTTAGGTGAGCCATATTGTGTCACGTTTAATTATGCTGTTGATTAGATCATAATATGCATGATTTTGTATGAGATACAACCGCTTTTACTTTACACATTTGTTAAATTAATAAATCAAACCCTCTAATCAAAATCTTAAATCATAATGCTATCAATTAATGAATACTTGTCAAAATCTAGATCATTCAAATGTAAGATCTACCAAAGTGGATACAATTAGGTTATCTTGGTGAGACAAGCATGAGTAATGGTGCTACTTACAAAGACTCATTATTGTTTGACTTAATTGAGATTTTCAAAATAGTTTTGGATCTCAAGGCATTAGATGGGATTGAACATGAAGGATCATATGATGATGAATCCTATAAAGATCTAAGAGTTACATGTGATGTAATTGGTAAATGAGTTACCTACCTAAATAACTTAATTTTAAGTGTCTTGCCAAAGCAGACTTAAATTTAAGAGAAATATGGGTCTTAGCTCACTAATCAAATTTGAGGGTTGTTAATTTTAGTGGAAGATATAAAATTAACTTTGTGTATTTTATTGTAGAATCTTGTCGGCTAGTAACACTGCTATACTATCGTTGCAATCAATCCTTGAGAAGGACAAACTCAATGGGACGAACTTTCTTGACTAGTTCAGGAACTTGAGAATTGTTCTCAAGTAGGAAAGAAAGGCTTATGTCCTAGATGAACCCATTCCTGAGGAGCCTGTGGCAAATGCTCCAAGAGATCAAAGGGATGCTTACATAAAGCGCACCAATAACTCGGTGGATATAGGATGCCTAATGCTAGCTACCATGGTTCTAGAACTTTAAAGAGATTTAGAATACATGGAGGCTTCTGAGATGATAGTACATCTTAAGGAAATGTTCTAGCAACAAGCAAGGCAAGAGAGGTATGAGACCACAAAGGCCTTACATTCCTGCAAGATGGCTGAGGGTATATCAGTTAGCACTCATGTTTTAAACATAAAGAGCCATATTGATCACCTTGAGAGGCTTGGATTTTCCTTAAGCTAGGAGTTGGCTACAGATTTGATCTTAAACTCACTCCCAGAAAGTTATGACCAGTTTGTTATGAATTATAACATGACTGACATAGAGAAATCCATTTTTAAACTCCATAGGATGCTTAAAACTGCTGAGCATAACATTAAGAAAAAGCATAGCACTGTTTTGATGGTTTAGAAAGGAAAGGGTATGAAAAAGAAAGGCAAGGGCAAGGGAAAGGGTAAAGGCTTAAATGGTAAGACCAAAGAGTCGAACAAGCCCAAAACCAAGCCTTCAACCAAGAAGGCAAAGCCTCTAAAGGAAGGAGTTTGCTTCTTTCATAATGAATTAGGTCATTGGAAGAGAAACTGCAAGCTCTACCTGGAAGATCTGAAAAAGAAGAAGGATAGCAGGGCTACTCCTTTAGGTATTTATGTTATAGACATTCACCTTTCTACTTCTTTTACATGGGTATTAGATATTGCATGTGGTTCTCACATTTGTACAAATGTGCAAGGTCTCAAAAACAGTAGAAAGTTGATAAAAGGCAAAGTGAACCTACGAGTTAGCAATAGAGCAAGAGTTGCTGCTTTAGTTGTAGGCACTTATGAATTACTTTTGCCTAGTGAAATTTTATTAGTTTTAAACAATTGCTATTATGTTCCTGCTTTGAGTAGCAACATTATTTCTCTTTCTTATTTAGATAAGAAAGGTTTTACTTTCATTATTGGGAATGGTAAATGTTCTATTTATCGAAATGACATTTTTTATGCTAATGGTGATTTGCATTTTGATCATTATCTTTTAAATCTGGAACATTCTAGTAATGAAGACATCTATAACGTAACTACCAAAAGGATCAAATCGAACGATTTGAATCCAACTTACCTATGGAATTGTCATCTCGGCCATATAAATGAGAAACACATTTCTAAGCTCCATAAAGATGGACTTCTCAATTCATTTGATTTTGAATCTTATGACACTTGTGAATCTTATTTATTAAGAAAGATGACAAAAGCACCTTTTATTGGGCATAGTGAGAGGTCTAATGACTTATTGGGACTTATACATATAGATGTATATGGACTAATGAGTATAACTGCTAGAAGGGGTCATTTGTACTTCATTACCTTTATTGATGATTATAGTAGATATGGATACATCTACCTAATGAAACACAAATTTGAATCTTTTGAAATGTTCAAAGTATCCCAAAATGAAGTACAAAATCACCTTAGCAAGACTATTAAAACTCTTCAATCTGATCGAGGAGGTGAATATTTGAGCCAAGAATTCATTGATCATTTAATGAGTTGTGGGATAGCCTCACAATTAACTCCTCCAACAACACCATAATGGAATGGTGTTTTTGCCCAGAGAAATCAGACACTATTATATATGGTTCGATCCATGATGAGTCAAGTAGATCTTCCACCATCCTTTTAGGGCCATGCATTAGAAACAGCTGTGTTCACCTGAACCATGTTCCATCTAAGGCAATTGAGAAGACACCATATGAGATATGGATTAGGAAGAAACCTAGTTTGTCTTTTCTCAAGATTTGGGGAAGCAAGGTTTATGTTAAGAAACAAGCCTTAGACAAGTTAGCACCTAAATCCACAAAGTGCCTTTTAATGGGGTATCTTAATGAAATAAAAGGATACTATGTCTACAATCCTACCAATAACAAAGTGTTTGTAATTCGAACTAGTATCTTTCTAGAAAGAGAATTTATCTCTAAAAGAACCAGTGGGAGCAAGATACATCTTGAAGAAATTCAAGAACCACAAAATAGCACAGAGTCACAGATAGAAAACTGAGAAGACTCACAAGAAGTAAATGAACCTACTCAAATAACACAAGGCCCACGAAGGTCTGATAGGACACGACATCATCCTCAGAGATATGGATTTTTAATTAATGAATGTCGTGATGTGTTGCTCATTGAATATAATGAACTAACCACCTACCAAGAACCTATAGTGGGACCAAATTTCAAGAAATGGCTAAATGCCATGAAGTCTGAAATGTAATCCATATACGATAATAAGGTATAGACCTTAATCGATCCACCTAAAGAAATAAAAACCATCGGGTGCAAGTGGGGTTTTAAGGAAAAAACTAACATGGATGGCAAAGTAAATGTCTTCAAGGCATGATTGGTTGTAAAAGGATTTACCCAAACTTATGGTGTAGACTATGATAAAACCTTTTCACTCATTGCAATGGCCAAATCAATTAGAATCATCCTTGCTATTACAATATATTATGACTATGAGATATGGCAAATGGATATTAAAACAACATTCCTTAATGGATGTCTACTTGAGGAAGTATACATGACACAACTTGAAGGTTTTATGCGTCCAGAAGACTCTGGAAAGGTGTGTAAGCTTCAAAGATCCATTTATGGATTGAAGTAAGCATCTTGGAGCTAGAATCAATGTTTTGATGAAGTAATTAAAGAGTTTGGATTCATTCAAAATATTGATGAACCTTGTATTTATAAAACGGTTAACAGCAGCACAGTTATATTTCTAGTGTTATATATAGATGATATCCTACTCATTGAAAATGATATTCCTATCTTATAGAATGTCAAGTCTTGGTTAGGAAAATCTTTCTCTATGAAGGACTTAGGTGAAGCCACTTACATTCTTGGGATTAAGATCTATAAAGATACCAAAAGGCTGATAGGCCTAAGTCAAAGTACATACATAGACAAGATACTGTATAGGTTCAGTATGCAGGATTCAAAAAGGGGTTTCATCTCCATGTCTTATGGAATTCATCTCAGTAAAGGCCAGTGTCTCAGTACACAAAATCAACGAGATTGTATGAGTAAGGTTCCATATGTCTCGGCAATTGGATCTATCATGTATGCCATAAAGTGCACTCAACCGGATGTTTCATTTACCTTAAGTATAACTAGCAGATACCAAGCAAATCCAGGAGAGGATCATTAGACTGCTGTCAAGAATATCTTAAAGTACTTAAGAAGGACTAAGGATTTATTCTTGGTATATGGTAGATTGGATGACGAGCCAGTTGTAACAGGTTACATAGATGCAAGCTTCTAAACTGACCAAGATGACCTTAAATCGTAATCAGGATATATGTTCACCTTAAATGGTGGGGCAGTAAGCTGAAAGAGCTCAAAGCAAAGCACAATAGCCGATTTTGCAACTGAAGCTGAGTATATAGTAGCATCAGATGCAGCTAAGGAAGCCGTTTGGATCAGGAAGTTCATTATTGAACTAAGAGTGGTGCCCAGCATCTCAGATCCAATAAACTTGTTCTATGACAATAGTGGTGCAATTTCACAGAGCAAGAAGCCAAAGTCACACCAAAAGACAAAGCATATACTCAGGCGTTTCCACCTTATCAGAGAGATCAATGATAGAGGTGATATAAAAATATGCAAAGTAACAGGATAAAATAATGTTGCTAATCCTCTTACAAAGCCTCTTGCACAGGTGAAGCATGAACATCATGTCAGGACAATAGGAATTAGATAAATTAATGATTGTACCTAGTGCAAGTGGGAGGATGTTAGAAATTGTGCCCTAGGACCAATCATTATACTATGCACATTGTTATTTAATGAATTTCTCTTTTGTTATCATAACAATTGCATGTTCAATATGATAACTGTATCCCTGGACAAACTATAGTAATTGTTCTAAATGTCCCTAGTCGGTTATCTTTGAGGGATCATAGATGAAATAAGACTGGTATGACTTTAATTAGTTATAGAGATACAAATTAAAGTCATAGGCACTTGAAAGAGTACAAGGTGCTGGACAGACCCGCTATGAGAAAGCTGCATGATATAAGTCATAAACTTATCTCATATGTAACTATATCACTAAGCCCTTTAACTTGAGATCATCATGGATTCCTACATGATGACCACTGAACTTTGACCTAGTCAAAAGTCACCTTTGATCAGGTGATTATAAAGGCTATGAATGAGTTTAGTAATATTCATGTAGAGGAATGTAAGTGGTCAAGATGGAATTTGTCCTTCACATTAAGTAAGAGATATTACTGGGCCCCTCGATGAGTAAGACTGAGAAAATAAATGGCCATACTATAATGGAAATGGTTTTTCCATTGCTACTGTCAGTGTACTTAGAGATCGAGAAAGTAATGGTCAGGTAAAGGAGAATAATAATTTCATGTCTCATACTTGACTGAAATATCACGTGACAAAAGAGATGTGATATGGTTGCATGATAGGTTACATTGGATCATCAATCCCCATGTGAATTGGGTAGTTGTAATGTCTTGCTAGAGGTCACTTGTAACTTGTGGGCTAATAGCATAATTAACCCACTATTAATTTCATATGGGCCTACAGGGTCACACAGAAGAACGGCCCAACTCAAGCTATAATGTCCAAATTTATTGAATCTGGAATATGTCTAGATTTAATGAATATAATATAGGGTGAATGAATTTTTTTTATATATATATATTTGAATATTTATTTGATAAATATATATATATATTTATATAAAATATATAATTCAAAATATACTTATATATATGTATATATATATATATATTTTCAAAATATATATATATATATATCCATATATGTGTATATATATATTAGTTATATATATGATATATGATATATAAAATTAAATATAGATAATATAATATATATATATATATATTTGAAATATATATGTGTGTATATATATATATATATTCGTATATATATATATATGTATAATATAATATGTATATGTGATATATATTATATTATATTATATTATCTTATCTTATGTTAGTTTTAAATTTAATTTTATATGATAGATTAAATTTAATAACTAACATGATAAGAGAGAATATCATGTCAGTTTTATAATTTAAATTTATAAGGTAAATTCAAATTAGATATGATATTATGGATTAAATTTTCGAGATAAATTTAATTAAATTTTCGTAAGCTTTTAAGTGAAAGACAAAAACCCTTATCTATATACCATATATAGAGAGAGACGTCCTTATGAAGGTATAGAGAGAGAGAGTTAGAAAAGTTCTGATAGCAAAAACACTTTGAGAGCCATAAAACACTCGATAGAAAGAAAAATTAACATTCAAAGAAGAACGGATGCTGAGAGCACTAGCACGCTGTTTGAGTTAGAGAGCTATTTATGTCGATACCAGTAGAGGGAGCAGATCTACATTGTCAGCTCTTGAGATCCAGACGTGTGCCAACTTTAAAGAATTAAAAAGGGGACTCTTCTATCCACCTTGACTTAAATAAGTTCGTTCAGTCCATATTAGGATAGGGACTTTAAAATTTTAATCTTCTACTGCACCTGCCTATCTAACACTACTCTCTCTTGTTCTATTCTTCAAATGAATATCATGTTTATTCACTAACCTCCTAATGTCTAGGACCATGTCATGTAGCTTGCTTACAATGGCATCATTGTCTTAAGGAGGTATTGGTTGTTTTGGACTATGAACATGGTTCTCTAGAGGGCTTTTCACCTTAACAGACCTTCTTCACACTATTCTCCCTACCTAATAACAGAAGCAATCATCAAAAGGCAGTAAGTTAGATAATATCTATGCAAAGGGGATTAACTATGTGTAAAGAATGATTATTGCCAATATCTATATGCTTAATACACAAAACATATATCATAAGACTAGATCTTAAAACTTAAGAATCTAATATCAAATTGCAATGTTTCCATAAATACCACACACTAAACCAAAATTTATTGACTCTACCATGGTGGTAATTAGAAGATAATCAATTACATTATTAACTTACTATAGTAGAATAGACTCAATTATGGTTGAAAATAGCTAATCATAGTATGAAAGGAAAATACTTAATTTAAAGGTCTACTATGGTTAATAGAATTTAACTTATATAAATAATATAAATAATATTATTTAAATATCCTTATCATGATAGAAAGGATTCTACTATGATAGAAGAGAATTAAACAAAGATAATAGACTCTACCATAATAGGAAAGATTAAACTAATATCACAAGAGAGTTATGATAGGCTAGCACCTAAGAGGGGGTAAATTGAGTGACACTTAAAAACTTTTAAAAATTTAAAAAGAGTAAAGGACTGAAGTGTAAAGGAAGGAGATGAAACACACGAGATTTATACTGGTTCAGCCACAAACTTGGTCTATGTCCAATCCTCAAGATCACACTTGAGATTTTTAACTAAATTCACAAGTTTCAATGGGTACTTGCCACCACAGTACAACTCTCAAGACTAAACTTATCTTGATTCACTTAACAAACCTTGATACAATCCAACAATTTGTTACAAACACTTGAAAGATAACTTTTTAAGAATTTGATAAAAGAAGTAAGCTTTAGCAGAAAAATTTCTTAAAGAGTAGATGAAGTTACAATTGAAAGCTTATAAACTTATGAGAGCTTTTCACAATTCTTTTGAAGAATAATGAATGAATGTAAGATGTAAATCACAATTTGAAAGCTCATTAAATGCAAAAATGATAATTTGTTCACTTAAGGATCATTAGTTCTTGTTTTGATTCAAAATAAATCACTTATATAGGTTTTATAATTTGATAGATCATTAGAACAGTGATTCTATTCGTTGCATTTTCTTATGAGTGACTGGTATAACCACATGTGAATTTACATTGGAGTTGTTCCAAAAAAGTATATGTGATAAATCACTCATGAACACCTTGTCCTCGTATGGTTTTGCACTGCTGAATAATCATCCAGTTCTGTACCTTATTGCTCTCTCACATGGTTTTGCACTTATGAATAAACATTTAGTTTTATATGCTAAAACTCACGTGGTATCTCATTGCTTTCTCGTGTAGTTTTGCACTTATGAGTTTACTCATGTATCAAAGTGCTAAAAATTATGAGTGCACTATTACCTCTCATGCATGGTTTTGAAACAATTATGTATGACAAATCACGCATGAAACCTCTTCTCTCTCACTTGTGAAATGGCTGGTAGAATGCTAAAGCCATTCTATATGATCAAAACTCACGTGAAACTAGAAAGCTATCATGCATGAAATTGCGAGCACTAATGTGCAAACTCATCTGGTGCATTTTCACGAGTGGAACTTTACATAACTCAAGCAAGATTTTGCATGATCAAAAGATATAGATTTATGAATCATTGATCATACATATGAATGATTTTAGCTTGGCTTAAGAAGACTTAAGACATAATAAAGCAAAATATGATTGTGTAACAGGTGACAAATCATGTGTGGCTACTATTAGTCTCATGTGTGGTTTTGCACTTGGACATAATGCAATAAAGCATAGATGCTAAAACTTACATAGACAACAAAGGCTTTCACGCATGATTTTGCATACAAAACTAAAGTTTAAGGCATCACATAACACAAGTGCTTAATCATGCGTGAATCACTTCTTCATACTTGCATGATCTAGTAGTCAATGTGCCTAACATGCAAAAACTCATAAGTAACTTGCAGAATCATGCATGATTCTGCCTCTCACAATGCAAACAACTTCTATGAAATTCAACACACAAGAAAGACATTATTTGTTAGTTTTAACATACTTAGATGAGTTTTAATGCATATAAAAGAGACATATGATGCATCCATTTAATAATTTAAGAAAGATGAATAAGCTCTCTAAGTTTTCACATTAAATCTAAGATAATTTAAAATTACTTATCCTAAACTTCTTCATCTTCTCTTGATTCTTCATGCTTTTGAGATTTTGTTTTCATCCATGATTCTTTATATCTCACACATAACAAATACCTCTTCTCTTGGTTTTGTAATCATTAAAACACATGATCCAACAATAAGAGACTATTATGGTTGAAAAGTTTGAAACTAGATTTTATAAGTATAAAACCTTTAGAAATTGGGATCCCAAGTTTAATAAATTCATTTTCAATTTTTTCGAGGCAAGAAATATGCAAATATCAAGAGTTTGAAAACATTCAAAAGGATGGGAAACTAATAGGATTTGAAAACAATTCAAAAAGGTCTTTTTTTTAACAAAAAAAGGACCTCTGTTGTGGTTGATAGAATATTGTGTCTAATGGCATAGAGAAGATCCGCCGCGATGTGCCATGCTTATCACTGTTGTGTCAAAATTAGAAGCTTTAAATCACAGCTATGAAACCAATAGGATTTAAGAGCAATTCATTCTTGTCTTATTCCTTTAACTAAGTTTTCGATTCAAAATCATGAGCTTATTCTTTCCATTTCAAGGTTTTCATGTCATTCTTCTCTTTTGTCAAAAATC